ACACAAGCCTTCTCACCACAAATGCAGCACTGTAAATATGTCTCTTTACTTTGCCATTTGCTATCAACTCTGCGCAGAAACCTGGAATACAAGATGTTGACTGACTTGAAATCCCCTCCTGTGTTGAAGAACACAGCCTCCCACTAAAAGTTCAAGAGCATTAAACTTGTCTGCTATTGATCTACAAGGCACTGAAGATGCAGTTCTTTTGTAATTTGAGGTCTAACCACTGAAATAGCTAAATTGGAGTTGGCACTGAGGTTATACTTCTGTTATTATTTTTTCACTGTTTTTAATTTTTGGATTTATTTGAAATATTGTTTTTAATCATACTGTAAGCTGCCAGGAACCAATTTGATGATGGTAATCTACAAATGTAATAAATAACTAAGAAACAAAATCCTTGCTTGAAGTCAGGAGTTGTTGCCCTTGAATGACCCCGAAAGCTGCAAAGGGTATGTGACTAGTGGTGGCATAAAAGGAAACAAAAAGTGTGTTTGTTGAGTTGTAGGGTTTAAAAGGCAAGATGCAGAAACTCACTGGACCCATTTTACTCTTTAAAACCTACCCAAAAGCCTTCAGAAAAGAAGAGAGAAACTTTGGTTGCAATGCCCCTGACAGGGTCCACAAAAGGGCATGGTGGTCTTTCCGACCATAAAATACCCAACCCTTCCTTAGCCACTCTCATGCTACCAGAAGAAAGAGCATGAGCAGAGGAAATAATCCACCCACAGAGGTACTGACATCTTTTACAAATTATTTAGAAAACATCCCAATAATGCTGGATTTCCCCTGCATGCGAGTGACTTGGAGCCTCAAGGGGGAAATGTTACTAGAGTGTTGGGGAAAACATCCATGTTTCCTTAGACAACCTAGGTTACTCCGACCTAAAAATAACAATGAAGGCAACCAGGGGTTTAATACTTCAGATTCTTCTACTGTCAGTCCTCGGGTTACAATGACAATTCGGATCAGAATTTTTGTTGCTAAATGATGTGGTTGTAAAGCACAATGCCAAGTGACTGCATCACTTAGCCACAGCAATCCCAGTTGCTGTCATACTCCAGGGACCGAGCACATCATTAGGGGAGGGTCTATGGGACTAGAATCCTAGATGAGGGGTCTCCAAACTTGGCAACTTTAAGACTTGTGGACTTCAA